CAATCGTGGGATTCTAGCTTCCCAAGTAATGGACTTGGTGCCAGACTTTGGCGCCACGATGGGGCATTTCCACGATACCAAGGGGAACTTCATATTGAGGTTAGGATCCCGCCCTGGCGCCGCCACGCTGCGGTGGTCATCTCGAGTTCTGTTTCATACGTCGCTTAAAGGTGTCACCACGGAGGACATGGATGGTGTCAGGCTTCAATCATGTACCAGATGGATTGCCCGACGCTTCTATCGGAAACGCTCTACGCTACCTGGGCGGCTGCACTATGACCTATGGGCGGATGGCTCTTTAAAATTAGGAGTAAAATCTGGCGCAGCAGCCATGATTTACCTCAACGGAGAACCTGTTGCCCAAGTAAAAACGAATAGAGGACCAATAGCGTGGAGCTGCCGGGCTGAATCTATCGCATTGCAAGTTGGACTGCAGAAATTGCTGGACATCATTCCCCGCCGCAACACTCGGCCGTGCAGAGTCTCTGTCTTCACGGATTCCCTGTCACCCCTCATGGCACTTCAAACAGGCCCCCTGACAGTCACAGACCCCATATTGCGAATACTATGGAACCTGTTATTGGACCTTCAACACCGCAAGGCACGCATACGGCTACAATTTATATTTGGCCATTGTGGCATTGCAAAGAACGAGGCATGTGATAAGAAAGCCAAGACGGCCTCTGACCTACCACAGCGCGGGGATACGTGGATACCGGATGTGGTTGCGCTGGTGAAATGTCACACACGTAGCCATCTGCCCAAACCATCCGCCAACCGCTTCAGCATCACAGGCCATTGGAACCCGAGATGCAATGATCCCAGCTTAACTCGAGAAGGGGGCGCAGCCCTGGCGTATCTCACCGCTTCGGCCGGCTTCGGCGAGCATTACAGCCCCTCACGCCACACAGATATAGGTGGTGTAACCCGATAGAATTGTCTTCTTCTCTTAAACGCCTCGCGGGGCAACGCCCGCAGAAAACTCAGAGGCAGCGCCTTTGCTTTTTCGTGATCCGGTCAACTTCCCGGAGTGGCAAATACGCTTCAGCTGTCGGACAAGGTGTGGTGAATCATATGGTCAAAAACCATGGATTCACACGTTCCTAACCCCCATGGAAAGCCAAGCATCCGTCAGCCGTGGGGTCGCTGAACATCCCGCCAACGCCCCCCCCCCAGACCCAAGACCCAAACACACAGCACCGGACACGACAACCGACTTAAGCCCGGTGGCAAAGAAGAGTCGAGGAAAACTTGCTTGTTATTTATGCGCCGCATTCTGCAAAGCATTAGGGGGACTAGCACGGCATATTTGCCGCTTCCGCTGCCTTAAATGCCTAAATGCAGAATGGAAGCTCCCACAGGGGCCAAATAGAAGATCATGGGTTTACCTTTCCAATGCGAACGCTGCGGGTTCATAGACCCAGCCAAAGTGGGGCTGTTTTTCCACATCTGTGCCAAGTGCCACCACCCCACGAGAGCTCCCAAGCGCAAAAAAAACACGACCCAAACCGTGTGGTGTGATATTTCAGAACGTCATCGGCAACGCTGGGTTGCGGCTATTCATGGGAAATGTATCGCTTTTATGGCCCGACAAAGGGCACGCAAGAAACAGATAATCACAAACTAAGCGCCGTCAAGCTAGAAATGGCGGGCGCCCCCCACCCGAAATCCGCCACAACAAAGTTGGAAAAAGGGATGACCATAAATGGGAAATGCCGGGTGCCACGGGATGGTATTCTTGTGGGTGTGTTTCTTGAGGACTTTGTGTGCCCGACATTTGGGCACCAGCGCCAAAGCAAACAAGGGCCTACAAGGCGCCGCGCGGCCACAGACAGATTCAGGCCGGACACCCTTAAAACAGAACAAACGCACTCCGAAGAAATAGACCAACCTACACTTACTGGGCTGCCGTGCCATAAATAGTCTCCGGTGTCAGTTTGCTCTGGGTGGGGGAAATGTGAAAAACCCATACGCTTCGCACAAATGCCTGCCCACCTGCGCGGCGGAAGGCGGCCCACTACCACCCGCCCCTTTTATTTGTTCATTCGCCAAGCGCTGCCTATTGCAGAACGCAAAGCAACCAAACCAAAAACCAACAAAACATAACAGAGGGAATAGTCTATACCTTACCTTCCCCTACAAAGTAAAAGAGAGAGAGAGAGAGAGAGAGCTAGCGAGACCTTTTATCTAGATCCCATTTCGAAAACCCCCTGCCCCTGGTACGCATAGAAAGGGGGACATCCAGTAACCTCAAGGCCTTCCCCTTATAAGGAAGTTAAAGCTTGTAGTCCCACTGACGAAAAGGAGGTGCTGAAAGCGCCCTTAACCCGCCTCCCGCGCCCCCCTTCGCGATGTCCGTCGGCAAAACCTTTGCCCCTCGCGATATGCCGTCCGCAGGGTTGTTTGCCAACGCGGCATAGCCCCATGTGGCGTGCAAGCCTTGGTCCCGCAGAACCCTGTCGATAAGCCCCGCCTCCCCCACCAGGGCATCGGAATGCGCGTTGCCTTTCTTCATAATATGCATTACCGTCTTGTTGTCGAT